TTTTTTTTAAAAATTTGTAATTTTTTTTTTAACTTTCGCCATCAAATAAAAAATACGAAACCATAGGATTTGTTTCTTTTTGATCTATTATAATAATTATAATAATAGTAATCCCTATCCTGTACATAATCCATGGAAAATCGCTAAGCCGCTGAATCGAGAATATTGTTTCAATAATGGCAGCATACGGTTTTATTCTGGTAAGTGGCGCGTTATACTAAATTTTCCATTGGGATACGGCGGCGCATAATTCAATAATTTAAGCGCTACATTTTATTATATGATTTGTAGTCATGTGATTTTTATTTTATTTTATAGTAAAACAAATTACGTTACTTTAGTCTATTCTAGTTCAATCATTAAACATTACGGTAATAACTAATAATTATTCTACTTCTTTCTATCTGCTTTATTTATAAAGAATTTTATAAACTAATTACATACTCCCTGCTTACACCATAATTTTTCAATGGTTTTTTTATTTAACTAACTATACGATGAAGAAATATTAATACTTGTAATTTATTGATTTCAAATATAAATATATAAATATCTATAATAATCAATGGACAAAATTTATTTTTGATAATTTTAACACATAGGTATATTTTTAAATTTAAATGTAGCTATAAAATTTAGACTGCACCTGAGGTTACTTTGATACTCTTATTTTTATTCATTAAATCAAATGGTTTGCCAGCCAAACTATCGACTTTGTCGAAAAAAAAAAATAGTCTGATAATTATTATTTGAGTTATGTTTTTATATTGGTCACTCTGATAGACGATTTTTTTTGAAATAAAATTACTGATTCAAATATTTCATTCAATTTCTTATATATTTAACGAGTTATACCGACCTGACGTTGCCCGTGTATTAGTTTAATTTTGGCATTTCCGTAGGCCGTACGTTAGTGTTTAATTTAATATTGCGTGGAATTCACAATTTAATTGTGTGTGTGTTAATTGTTATAGCAGTATTAGGATTATGCATCCATAACATATATTTACAGACTGTGAATATTATTATTATTTTTTTTTTTGAAACATGTCCTTCTAGACCACTCCGGCCGTTTTTCTGTTAGGGGAAAGGATGACTAAGCTGCTAGGTGTACTTACTGGGCGTCGATGAGTAAGTGAGTCGAACGTCTTACTTTATATACACATTTGGTTATTATCTTTAACCGTGTATTAAGTTATTTTTTCCACTGTTTTTTTCCAAGTCCGTTCCCTTTTAATAGTTTTTTTTTTGTCCGTGACAACCAAATTAACCAAGATAACCAATGAATAAACAAAAATTAATAAATAAATAATATTAGATATTCGTACACAAAAAAACCTGATAACTCCTATTTTACCTCTTAGAGATTGAGTTTTAAAAAATCCTTTCTTAGCAGATGCCTACGTCATAATAAATATCTGTGTGCCGAATTTCAGCCCGATCTGTCCAGTGGTTTGGGCTAGGTGATAATGAATTAGTCAGTCAGTCAGTCAAGACATGTTATTTTATTTATACATACAGATTAGATAATTAAACAAATGAAACATTATTAAATAGGTATACAAATTAATAGTATAATCAATTTTGGTAAATTAACAATAGAATTACGATTTGTTTGTACATTTAATTTAACAATATAATTCTTAACTTTATATCAATCTTAATTTTTCAAGCAGACATTCAATCTTTTTAATTAATCACGAGCCCAATCTTTGCCTGGTAGGTTTTCGCTGTTTGAATAACAGTTTGTTCGAAGTCTACGTTAATCATCTGAGGATCGTGATAAACTTTTATTGAAAACTCCAGTGAATATTTCTTCATACATACTACTATTTTTTTTTTAAGTAAAAAAAAAAAATTGGTATTATAATATCATACTTTTAGATTCTTGGTGAAGCGAAGAAGCTTTTACAAAAACGTTTATTTTTTTGTTTTTTATCTGTGCACAACTTTTCAACCAGAAGACTTGCTCGGACTTCTGCATGTAACATCTTTTCTGAAAGTAAATTGACATGGGAAGATACTTTAAAAAGGTTAATTTTCGATTTTCTCAAGATCAAAATTGAATCAATCATCATCAAAATTGAAAAACCAAAAAAAAAAAAAAACGGGAAAATGTACAAAATATATTACTAAAATATTTCGAATTTTTTATCCTGTGCATCATTTTGCATGAATACCAGTATACACATAATATAATATGTTATATCCATATCGGTTTATTATTTAATTTACATTATATTTAAATGGACACCTTTGCATTCATTTTACGAAATGGAAATACAATTTCACTATTTCACGTATTTAATTACACAATATGAAAAACATTCCGTGAAATGGGAACCCACACTATACACAAAGGAATTAGTTCCGTCCTTTGGCCATCCACATGTCGAAAAGTTATGGTAAACTTTACTTTTTTTTAAACGGATATCGTTTTTAACAATTTAAATATTTGACGATCAATTATCACTAATTTGACATATAAACTATTATTATTAAAATATACAAAATTATTATATAAAATATTCAAGTGTATTTTTTGGGTGTCATACCTTCGTGTTACAGTCTGTATATGTAATATAATATATTATATGGATAGGCACGATAAAATATATTACAATATTTTATATTATGAATGATACTTGGAGTTCAAATCTAGTCAAATCCATATTCACAGACAGAAAAATAAAGCAGAACACAGTGAAACAACACATTCCCCGTTCACTCAGAATTCATAAAATTACTCACCTTTAATGGTTACATTTACTTTTGAATACATAACCTTCGAAATCTCATCTTGAAAAATATTATTAGTAGAGAATTACTATTATTTTTTTGATCATTAAATATTACCGTGAACTCCCGAGGTCTAAAAATAGGTATACTTAGCGGTACAACATTATTTTTTCGTAAGATTCCTTTTTTCTAAAAAAAAAATAAAATAAATAAAAATAACTGTATTTAACATTTTTTTTTTTTAATTTCTGATCGAATCTAATAAAATAATGATGAGTATTTTCTTTTTTTAAACTGTCTACTAGAAATTTTGATCCGATTTTTAATAACAAATGATAATGTTTAAAACATTTGAATTAGAATAATAAATTGTTTAAAAGCGTATAACTAACAATTTTAAACGAATGGTAGAAAAAAATTGTAGAAAAATTTCTAGAAAAATATTCTTTATTATATTTGTGTTTAAAACGGAAGGGTTTCTATTTGAAAAACAAAAGTACCCATATACTTTTTTATTGTATGGAGTAGGGATTAAAAATTAAAAAATGGTTTTAAAATAAAGCTTAACCGATTCCTTAATGACTAAATTCAATTAATACCCTCCGAGAAAATTGATGATTCATGATAAAAAAAATCACTCTGTATGTTAGATAATATTATAGGTATCTGTACTAAATCGTGATAAAAGTAAGTTGACAGAAGACGCTGGCTGGTATATGTTTATAAAAATACTTCCTATAGTGTAAAAATCCCTGTTAAACTTTAGTATACCATCACAATTTTGGCAAAATCTTATTAATATTGATGATATGCGGCCTTGTCTGTTTATATATATATATATATATATATATATATATATATATATATATACTGTTGTAGTATAAAAAGGAGAGTTCTATCCCAGGTGCAGGTGCCAGGATCAAGTGCTATACCTTATACATAGCCGCCCAAATTGTCCACCACTTCATAGACCATTTAAGTCACGCCCACTTTCGACATTATTACCACACTGTTATCACAAGTTATACCATATTTATCTTATCACGATTATACTTATAGTTATTCATATTAATATATCTGTATACCTTTGATTTATTTATAACGCTTTTCGTATTTCCTATAAAGCCAGGTTTTTGACACATAATGGAGTTTTTCATGTCAAAATTATGTAGCAACTATATTGTAGCTTCATGAACACTACTTTTTAGTATTGAAATCAAAACATTTCCAAAAATCAACACACGAATAGACGTTTTATTCAGATATTTAACAAAGTTTAATAACAAAGGTATAAGAAGGTACCACAAAAATTAATCAAATAAAAAAAAATAATAATAATAACATAATTGTACGTTTGACTGCAGTAGCAAAGGTATAAAAAAAAATGTAACAAACAAAGTAATCAAACACAAAAAATTGTAAAATAAAAAAAAATAACATAATATGGGTTCTCGTGATTTTAACCGTTTGGCCAAATTGAACTTTGGTATCAAAAATATAAAAAAAATGTAAAAAAACGCATCATAGTAATCAACTAAAAAAACAATAATTTATAGAAAAATAACGTATAAACGTTATTTCACAAATACTCATAGCTATAAGCATAGGATGGCAGGACAATATGCTTCTTTTTCCGTATCGTGTTTATCCGTGGCTTATCGATCATTTCCTGAAAATATAAGTAGGTACATTAAATATTTAATACGTTTGGTCGTAATAGTATCGTTTGTGAGACAATTTTTATAGTTACACTAACACAAAATGGTTATTTATTTATTGATAAATTATTTTATTTTTGACATTTTATTACTTATATTGTTAGCTACCTATACCTACGGTATAATTGGTATATATATAATATCGTAAAAATTAACCAGAACCAACGCCTGCAGTCTCCTGACATGCATATTTTTCAATAGCAAAGTATAATATATAAGTAAGAGTGTATCACGAGAATCATTTCGCCGTACAAAAATCTCAGTTTTCTTCTACTATTCACGTGTTACCTACCACCATATTTTAAGAACATAATATGGCGGTAGTGATCGTTAAGTAATTCTTATCTGAGTTTTGTGAATACCGCGAGTTTCTGACACGAAAATGATACTTTGCGATACTTATTGGCTATTCCATTGCCTACTACTCGTATATTATTATTTGCTATATTGTTTAATCTGTGAATTGAATATTAATTCGATTAATTATTCTAAGAAATTGTATAAGTATACAATAATACATTAACAGTAATTTTTATTTTTTTTTTAACACACCTTGATTAGATGTGAATACTTTTTCGGTAAGTCTTGGTTTAACTGTTTGAACGCGGATCGGGCGAAGTTTAAATATTTAATGTCATAATTTTCTAAATGGTTTAAAACCATTCTAGCGCTCGGCTTCCAATCGTCCGGTACATTGCTAAAAAAACGCATATTACGCAATCTAACTTATAAGTGTAATTATTTATACTAAAACCTTAGAAAACCACTTACAGTCTCATTCCTAGGACTATAAACCCTCCATAAAGTTTCCCAACAATCTCCAGTTCCGAATCGCCAATACGATAATACCACCAAACCAACTGATCATGCAAGTGACAATAAATACGCCTATACATTTGCTGCGAAATGTTTAAATAATTAAATTTTTTAAATTACATAACTTGTAGCATTGTAACATATACATTTTTTTTTCTCCTTTATGATCTAAGACGAATAAAAATAAATACATAAAACGAATATCGATAGTATTATTACCTCGCCCATATTCAAACCAAATAAAATAAATTGAAAATATTTTAGAGATTTTTCGACGGGTTGGGCCCCTCTAATTGTCAAATTAACCACTTGAATTATGCTCTCCATGCAGGATTCGTCTACATCAAATCAAAAATAAATTATTAGGATGCAGGTAGGTATTTTTCATAATTTTTATACAGAAGTCTATCCTAGAATGTATATTTACCGATACTTTGGGCGGCATTATCTCCTGGCTGTGAAGACCAAACGTAGAGGGGGAACGACGGCGAAATGAGGTCAGCCGCCAAAGAACTCGAAGCTTGATGACAAGCTCGATTACCGGAAGAATCCGCTGATTCGGGTTCTTCGACATCCGGATCCTGATTTTTGCCCGTAGTGTACTCGTCTTTTATTATCACTTGAAAAACGTTCCTGTAATTAAATTTAAAAATCATAAATCTAATATGTATTAAAATAATTTCTAACACACTTAAAATATTATCATATATATAATTAGTAAGGACGCAAATCGAGCAGGTATTTTCGAAGTAAACCCCGGACAATAGAGATCGAACTTTCCGTTTAGAAACATGTATAAGTTTTCATTATTATATTATAAATTAAATTTGATTTTTTCTCTCGTGTAACACAGAAGGGTATTAGACAAAAAAAAAAAAAACAATATAAATTTCTGTATTTTATAACATATATTTTAATGACGCTATATTTTTTCGGGGTAATATCATTACTAAACCGTTCATTTCTTGTCGGATCATCGAAATTTCGAATAGTAGTTTACTTGTACAGGTAAAGTTTGAAGGCAACGGTCCGGCCAGTGACAAATTTCACGCACGTAGATTATGGGTCATTAGACACCCACTAAAAATGTATATTATATACCTAGATAGTTGACGTAGCAAAAACAAAAAAAAAAAATATCCGTACAATAATCGGCTATATCTGCATTTAGCAGTAACGTCGGATAACGTTTGGCGAATTTGCACGCGCCGTCCGTCAGCGAATAAAACCGTAGTCACATACGCCGGGCAATAAAAATCCGAATAAAAATCCGGCTCAGTCGTGGACGCGGGAAACGGTATTGTTCGCGTATATTTCTCGTAGGAAAACAGCCGGCGAGCGACGGCAAAGGCGCACCACGGTCGTCGGCTTTATTCGCCGACGAGTGACGATGACGAGGCGCGATTCGCCATCGGCACAGACTCGCCCGATGCAAGACGCCGATTACTCGTTTTAAAAATGGACGAAAAACAACGTAAAAAACGGTTTTTCGGATATACGCGCGTACCTTATTAGAACGATTGCGTTCCACACTTCGACGGCAATGTTCGTATTTGCTTCGCTTAGCCAACACAGTACCAGTAACATCAAGATCGCCGTGAAAAGCATGCTCTCTATTAGCGAAACTACGGTGAACATCATGTTGATCATAGTGTTGGAAGATACACGAAGAGACGATGACGCGCACGAATGTGCAGTAGAATCAAAAGGCTAAAAAAAAAAACCAAACCAAAAACAAAAACTATACCATTAGGTATATTGAATTTTAAATTTGATATTCTTAATTGATATTATTCTTACCTATTTGTTCGGATCGCACACTAAGGTTGTTTACTCGGTTGCCGGGCCCTCGTTAACTTTACCGGCGACCGTATCCACGAAGCAACAGTTGATTTGTTTGTGTATTTAACTAGCCAACGGTACTCCCGATAGAATTATTTCAAACCAGCAATGACATCCGTGTTATTTTTTTTAAGAACGGTCGTCGCTACGGCGACCGGCGTAATAAATATTTCATACTATCGTTTTGACCGAACGTCCAGCGTTCCGCGGACTTAAACTCAAAACCCGGACACTTTTGATGTTAAGTTTTAGGTATCTACCAATCATTCGTGTTATAACAGCGTATTTAGTATTTATAAATACGTTCGTGCGTTTATAAATAGACGAGAGCATGAATGCGAAATGCGATAGTTCCGATTTCAATATAATCGTTTTTCGTTATTATAAAAAAAAAAAAAAAAAACATTAAGAAAAATAACTTCCGTAGCGGACAGACAAAATACCATAAATACCTACGGTTCAAAAATATAAAAATCGTGTTAAACAGTTTAACATAACGTATGGGTATATTAATATAGTTTTAGGCACAAGCAGTGGTGCTCGGAGATTTTTCAAAAGGCAGTGCAAATTATAATATTTGTTAACAGTCACCCATGCCAGTGGTGTATTTTCATAGAAAATCCAAAATCAATACTGCTGTAACGTCACGTGTATTCCGTTTTTTAGTCTGCACCACGAATTAAGATATACAGGGTACCGGACGAACGTGTGTTAAGTAAATCTCGAACTTATACCAAATATTCCTTAAAGCGCTAGCTGTCATGCCAAATAGTGAGAACCGGGCGGACTCAGAAAAACATTGATAAGACCTTTCCGGTCGGTATCCTGTATATCTCAATTCGTGGTCTGCACTGTACCTCACTACCATAGGTACAACAGAGCCCACCGACAAAACACCAGCGTATTTTATCTTTACGATACAATTATATAGGCAATCTATTATAAGCTACACGAAAGTATAATATTATAGGTACGGTTTACCTATACGATTTTAAATAAATCAAATAAACAACATATAGGTATCGTATGGATATTATTATTTTTAATTTCATTATTGCGTGTTCTTCGTTCGGAATATACGTAACTGGACGGTAATTTTCGACGTTTTCGAATTTAAAATTTGCATCTGAATACACATCATCCGGGAACAGATCCAAGGGGGGAGACCTAGGAGCCCAGGCTCCTCCCTCCCGGACTTAATATTTCTCCGATTTTTTTTATAATTCTATAGGTCCTGATATTATTACGTTTCAATTACAGATATGCGTATGCTAATATACATATCTGTGGACAATGATTCCAATGTTGTAATTTCGTTTTTACGCGTTAAAATAAGAATCAAATACTACTTTAGATTTGTTAATAAATAATACACACATGTTATTATTACCAATAGTTATTTTTCCTAAACTTGAAACTTAGAAATATTGACCACAGATTTTAGTTTTAAATACACCGTTACGAATTACTTCTAAAACTATTACTTGTTTAGTACAAAATTTTCGATTTATAAGTTAAAAACGTTTAAATTATTTGTTGTAAATAATTTATTGGCCCTATATGTTGCGAGTGGTTTTATAAATAGTTGGTAACACTATTGTGTAAGTGTGCTTGATTTTTCGTAAAAAAAAAAAATCTGGTCATTTCCCTGAAATGAGCGGAACTTTTTCATTTTCCCCGGGTGTTAAAATGTTAAGATCCGGTCCTGTTTATATTACCGGCACTTGTATGCGCGTATTTAAAAACCCGTTTTTCTCCGTTGAAAACGAGTCGTAGGCTTAAAATACGCATAAACATTAAAATTAAAGACTATACGAAATAAAAATTTAAAAAAAAGATAAAAATGGAAACGCTGATTATGTCAGTTATTCTACTGCAGGTGCCAAGTAATGTCTAATGCATTTTCAGATACTGTAGCGAAGAAGGACTACAGTCAAATTTTCAGTAACGTAACAATAATTTTAGCTTTCCGCATGTGTTCTACAAAACCGTCCTTTTATCATTTTCAATGAAACTAATACTTTAGTACTATATCTACTTGGTACTACTACCATTACTGCAAAGTCAAAATCGCTTCGCATTTCCAATTAATTCGGTTAATATCGTCGTAACTATTTGAACGATAATTAAAATTTGAACAGTCGCCCGATTCCGGTACGAGGTAAGTAAATTATTATAGTTGATCATTATTTCAAAAAAGACGAAGGCAAGTATTAAAAAGAGCCAATACCGGGGACGGATAGTTGAGAATGTGGGATACATTAAGTTATTTAATAATTTATACCTGTAACCAACGATAAACCATATTAGTATATTACTAACGAAAAACGAGAACCTTGATTGGTTTGTTTACAATTATAATTTATTTTGTAGTGGCAAATCGATACAAGATTTAGAGTGTAACCAGGAATATTATTGTGTATTGATTTTACGTTGGTGTGATTTTTTTTCCCCATCTGAAAGGCTAAATTTCCACCAAAAATCTCGCTCAAATTAAAAGATAGTAAGATACATTTTTTTTTGTTGCATTTTGGATTAAGTTGATGAATTGAAGCGGTCGTTTTTTGATTTTCCGAGCGGTTTTCATAATGATTGAGAATATTTACTGCGGCGTTAATGATTTCTTTATTTAGAGTGACAAAATCAAAATTGTGGGGAAATTGTTTTCAAGTAGTATCGAGTACTTGATACATTCAAATCTGTTTCCACAGTATTCTCGTCGCTGCTCTTGATCAATCGGTACGTCGGAATGAAACGAACACGATTAATTAATGTGTGTATACGTGTGTGTGAATACGATTTTTACATTATTTGTATTATTGTTCAGAATTTTAGCGAATTCGTTAGACATATTATTTTGATATTTCATACTACAATAGTTAACAACATTAAATTACTAATGTTTTGTGCACAATGTGTTCTCTACGTTTGTACCACGGCCACAGTGGAAAGTGGTTACCGGGTAAATTAATTTATATCTCTACGCAATGATAATATGTCATTGCTGTAACTTTAACGAATATCGATTCTAAGCGGAGTTAAATCAAATAATTTTGATAAAGTTAAATTCGACATTTTGTTAACTTCTGACAATGTATACAAAGGATATGTAATCAACATCATTTTCATTTGGCTGTTGGTTTAATATTATAGTTTCCTTTCGGTGCTTGTTATTATTACTGCCTTTATCTATAGTATAATTCGTCAATATTAACGTGTATATTATACGATAACACTATCGTAATGCAATTGTGTTTCCGGCGGCGAAACGATTGGGTCCGATCATTATTAGGTACCTCATTATGAACACGATGTAATTATATAGGTGTAGTCCGGCATCACGAAAAAACGTGCCGTCGATTATTGTGTTATTGGGTATCGTCCCCGTCGTTTTTCGTCTTCGGAATAATGTACAGAGTGATTCTTATACCGTGAACCAGCAGTTTACAAAAAAGATTTGAAGTGAATTCGATTTCTGTTTTTTTTTTTTTTAACCATCGTAAAATCGTCTGAACTTTATTTAAACAATATTTTCATTTGTTTTACCTACTCCTTATTTACCTACAATGAGTATATACTTTGAATTTTTAAATAGCTAAACGTGACAAAATAGCAAATCAATTTATGATTTCCAAAAATAGATACGCAATTAAAGGGTATACGTTTTATACCCTTCCCTATTCCTTTGGTCTAAACTTTAAGCTTATTTTAACTTTAAGCTGTTGTAACTCATAAACGGTACATCTGATATTTGTATTATGCATTTCAATATTTATAGAAAAATATTCTCTATTATAGAAGGGTTGCTATTTAAACATCCAAAGTGGATTCCCATTTCAGGGATGAAAGAGTAGGGGTGAAAAATTGACGATATGTTGAAATAAAACTTAAACGATTTCATAGTAATTGTAAAAGAAAAAAAAAATCAGAAATCATTTAAAATTTCCCGAGAAAATTACTAGTTCATGTTAAAAGAATCACTCTGTAAACAAAATAATAGATACGCCACAAATTTGTCCGTCCATTTCACGGTTTTTATTATTATTATTTTATTTTGTGTGTACACCCATCTAATTAATTTGGATTTCTGATCAGTTCCACTAGGAATACTACAGTGTCTTAAAATATAAACATAAGCCGTCAAAATTTTAAAATAACGGAATCATAACGCCTGAAATGTAATAGTTTTCACTTTTCGTCTTTTTCCGTTTCTTCCCGATTATTAAGAAAACCACTTCGAAAACCAAAAAATGAATTACTTCGTGAGGAACTAGATTTAAAATGCAACAAAAACAAAGGTTTTTAGTCATTTTTTGATTAAATCAATAATTCTACTTTCTAGTAGAAAATATAGTTTGTACATATTAAAAATAATAAAATCGGAACAACGTCTTGGCGCGACGTAAATATTTGCCGTTTTACCTATAATTTTGCTTCCGGTTTTTCCTAATTATTTGGAAAACCTTTTGGAAAATTAAAAATGGCCTTTTTAATGCGCCAGTTTTTTTTTTTTTTTAAAAAGGCGGCGCACTCGATACACTGGAGTATGTTTTGTAGTATAATTAACTATAATATAATAAATGTGTAATACATTACATTGGTATGGGCAATGTGCGAATCCCGGGCAACATTCAATTTGATCCTGTCCGGGTAATTTGAACCACGAATATAAACAAATTAACTAAGCGACGTTTAGTTGTCCACTAGGCATTTGTTATATTATGAATATTTTAAAACAATTATACGTCTAATTAACGTTTTTATTATAAACAAAGTCTGTCTATTTTGACCAGTAGCGGATTTTCAACATTTTTCTGAAAGGGACCCCGAAAAATCATATGTATTTAAAAGGTATCTCTATTAACAGATGTCTCTCTTTTTGGACGACATTTATTGAAATTATTATAAGTGTTTGGGGGTGGGGACCAGACCTCCTGAACCTCCCTTCCCCATAAATCCACCACTCGTTTTGACACATGCGCCGGATAAATTTCGTATTATCGGATTTTGATACACAATTATTAGACAGTCAAAAGAGTACCTATTTGATATTTCCGATTAACCAGTGAAGTTTTCGTGATTTACAAGTCACTTCGTAGTTCATACGGTGTTAATTCAACGACAATTTACGATTACGGTGGAAAACCTTGTACAGATCGACGACGTACCTGATATATAAACAAATAGTTGATGGGACGAACGTGAAGGAGAAGAATATGCAATAAGAAATTATCAACTTATTTTAATCGTTTAATTAACTTGTTTATGTGCGTGATTTCGCGGTGTCCGCAACACGCACATAAGACAGCGATGGAAATATGTAGACAATACAATAGCGATTGAATATAGGTATATCTACATACCTATTATTTACAATATAGCCGAGCTGATACTGGGGATGGGTGTGCACACCTCTGTTGTAGATGGAAAGTTGGGAAGGATTATTATAAGATACACGGTGTTGTTCAATTTATATCTGTACAACGAATAAACCAGTGATTCCCAACGCCCCATGTGGGCTCTTTTAATTTTGAGGGGGGCTTTTTACTTAAGGAGGTGCTAATGGAGGCGGCTCTACCGCTACTTTCATTATAAAAATATTTCGCTTTTATTAAAAACAATTACATTATTATTAAAACATTAATAGCAAATTCATAACTTAACTTTTAATGAAATGTACGATGTATACCAAATATACTATGCGATCCATTTCAGTGGGGTATACTCATTATCTCGGAAAGCATTAACTTTTTCTGGAATTTGTTTTCTAGAACATTTAAGGAACAAGCTGCTCTAAAATTGTGTTTCAATGTTATTTTTCGTCACCCTTATTTTCGGGGATAAAACCACTACCTACTTTTGATTTTCAAACGGCGACCCGTAATAAAAAGTCCATAAATCGATGGGGTATCAGTTACGATAAATTTCTGCGCTGACATTTTTGATCGCCGTCGACCCGTCGACGAAATATTCCACGTTTAAGTTTGGATAGGCGGAGAGTAGTGAAGTATTATTTGCACGGCGCGCCGCGGCGTTTTACGTCTTAACGTATGTACGCAAAAGTGAAATATCCCGTCAACGGGTTGACGGAAATTTTACGTTTTAACTTCGAAGTAATAATGCTCCGTCTGTTCGTGTACATTTTCAACACGGGCGCCCGTTTGAAAAACCAAAGCGTCCGAAAATGTCGGTTTCGATTCCACTGGGAAAATTCCTGAAAACCGGAATTCGAACGCACACGCGAAACTCGACCGACGGAACGGGACGAGTGTATCACCCTGTATGCATATGTATATGTATAATATCGTGCGTTTCGTACGAGACGGGTCCGTACGTTTGTAACGCGCACGATAATAATAATATAAAATGTAATAATAATATTGTTATTATTATACAGGTGTATCATATTGTACGCGCGTTCCCACGGCCGGCTCCGCCGGGTCAAGTCACGCCTCCCGGACCGTGTGTGCGCGCGCGACTACGCGACCGCGGCTCCGGCGGAGAGCGTGTGCGCGCGCCCGGGCGACCGACGCGGTACAGACGCCCCCAAAAACGATTAAATCGCCGGTTTTCGTTTTCGTATTTAAAAATAACGATAATAATAATAACGACGACGACGACGACGACGGCGGCGGCGGCGATAATAATAATAATAATAATAACGACGACGATAATATTACCATTACGTGCGTCGTGTACGCGGGGATACGTGCCGCGGCGCGCCGTACGATACCGTGTGCCGGGCCGGAGTCGGCGCGCAGTCCGGCCGTAATTGCCGTCCGCCGAACACCAGCACCGCGGAGGTCGCGCGTGCCCGCAGCGACCGATCCGTACGTCCAAGACGCGCCCCGCGGCAATTTTCGCGCCAACGGAAAAACAAACGACCGGCGCCGTTACGCGGCTCTACCATGTGAAACGCCGCGGAAAATTCGACCGGGAACGCGAAAAACGCTCGCGGTTCCTCTATCTCGACGGCGGCGGTCCTATACCACGTCCCCGCGTGTTTCCCGGCCGCGTGCTGTTCCCGAGACATTACAAACCGTGTGCCGTACGCGCGCGCACACTTAGGGATACCCGCACCTGATGGGAATCGAAACTGATGGGACTTCGAAGTTCATCGCTGGCAAAAAAAAGCGACGACACGTTGACGTGGGTGTTGCACAAAAAAGACCCGTCCGCCCATCAGCACGAGTCCAATAACCAGAAAACTCACGGCGCGTAAGTCCCGCGGCGTTTTTGTTATTATTATTGTTATTTTTTTTTTTTTTGAACGTCCAAAAACTCAATGAGATTAATATTCCTCTAGTTTCCATAATTTTGGCATTTTTTTTTTTTTTTTTTTTGCTAATAAACCGAACAAACCTCGATTTTTAGCCTTCAATTTCAACCCTATCTTTTCGTCCTTATTTTTTAAGCCACTTCTTTGATGCGGGAAATCTCGTTTACCGTGTTATATAACAACTGCGTGTGTTTTTTTTCAACATCGATAAATTTTGATTTTCAAGCGAAACCGCCAATATTCTCGTCAGCAAATCGTACCCTAGTTCAACATCGTCCGAACATCGAGGAACGAGACACAACAACAATAACAACAGCAGTATCAACAGCATCAACAACCACGTCCAGAGGAAAAGAAGGGGCCATGCGCATTCGAATTTATTAGACTATGGAAAACCCGAACCGACTTACGGTTACGGAATAACCGACTTGGACGATTTCCTCTCAAAAGTAATGTGCAAACAAAACCGTATTAATTTTATAATTTTTCGGGTCAATACAGGGTGTCTCACGAAGATATACCTATTGTAATATCTCCGGGCATAATAAATAGACGATCAAATTCTGTTTTTTTTTCTTTTTCAATATCTTGCAGGAATACGTTTTATAGATATTTATATTGCAATTAATTGTTATGCTTTCATAAAAAACTTGAGAAAAAAAAATTTTGTATTTTATTAAGAATTTATTTTTATGGACATTTTATATTTATTAAATTCGTGATTTTTAACAATTTTTTAAAGTTCAGAGAAAATAAGTGTGTACAGTCAATTAATCGTAATGCCAATAATCAATTAGAGAGTGCGATTACAGTTGCATACTTATAGGGGCTTTTCTCTGAACTTTAAACAATTATTATAAATCACGAATTTAATGAAAACAAAAAGTTGATACGTCAAAATGGTCAAAAAAACAAATGATATAAAATTGCTATCTTCAATTTTTTCGAAAATAATAAAATAAAGTTATTTTTTTAAGTTTTCTTGTGAAAACTTGAAAAATCGATTGCAATATAAATATTTTTAGTCCTTATCCTTGTGAGTAATATATATATATATATATATATATATAAAAAGAAAACAGAATTTGATTATTTTTATTATCCCCGGAGACATTACAATGGGTAGGTTCCTATAATGTTTGTGGGACACTCCGCAGTATATCCAGAACGATCCGCGTAATACGAGACTGTCGCGAAATGTCTGATAATTATGTTTTTAGAAAATGTATGTTGCGTTTACATAGGTAGCTATGAAACTTTACATTTACGTTGTTTTTTTCTCGCCCTTATTTATGGAAGATGAACCACTAGTGGCGTTATCCGCGTTTGATTTTAAAATGCCAATCCATATGTATTGGGAACCTCGGAGACGGATAAAGTTCTAACTCAAATACGCGTCGGTGTTGACGATTTCAATTTCCGTCAGTTCCCGTATATACGGTGTATTTCACTTTTAGATCTGTAGTTTTGTGCGTGGGTGAGACAGCGGTGGATATGACAGCTCGGCGCGATAACAGTGCCCGGAGCGCCATTGAAACGACACACCCAACATCGGAAATCCAGCTGATCTCGTGGCTATTATCTACGGAGAAACTTTATCTGTGCGCGTCTCAGCACCGCGCTTTCCAAGCCTGCCTTTTGGTCTTTTGCCAGCTGCACTCCAGCCGATCGTCGCCTGATATGTTTCTGCGTCCTCTCACGGCCGTGTCGTCGTGACCCTTTGAGTTTTAAACAAAAGTTTTTAGTCCACGGAGCCGTGTCGTCGGCACCCGTGTTTCGTTTTACGCCGCTCTTCAGAGCGCAGTTCTTGTTCGCCACTCGTTTCACTCCGTGCCAATAGCACGGTGTCCGCGTCGATTTTCCCAGGGGGCCTCGTTTCCGAAATTTACTTCCATCAACCGCTTACGGGACGTGTCGCAATAATAATAGTGGTGTACACACCGAGCACTCACGTTCTATAAACGTATTCCGGCACCTATGTACGGTTCTCGTTTTCGATGCGCCGCAAATGTAATATTACAATCCGAACGATTTGCCGATCTTCGCGTGAACCGTTCGAATCGGCGTCGGATGTTTCCACTCATCTCTCCCCGCGGCCGAGTACAATAATTATCGCGTAACGTACACATTATATACTCGTTAGTGCCTCGGCTATAGAGAACGGCCGCGAGACAAGAGAACGCGGGACATTGCGGGTGTTAACGTTGGGCGCTTAATGATTTACCATTAATTTGTACACCGCGAGATATTTCTGGCGATCGAACGCGTATGCAACACGGACCTGCAACGGCGTGCCCGGGAATTTCCATTGGCACGGGCGCAGTATAAAACGCGAACCCGGCCCGACCTGACTACGGGTATTCGAAAGCCAGGTTCGTAAAAGCCAAGTTTTTTAACCGATGAATCAATTATTTCCGCGTCGCTCCGCTGAAACGCACAGAGTGTTCAATTTGAGCGGGCACTCCCGCCCGATACCTCGGAAAGTATTGATCTTTTTTCGGAGTTTGTTTTGTTGGATATATTTTTAAGAGGACGTCGCGTCCGCACGTCTACAGATGAAAAGAAGTGATCTACTGTCTCGGTCAAACTACCGGGCAACACGCAAAAAAAAAAAAAAAAGACTAAGTAAAACCAGCTTGATTTCGATTTTAGAGTCTTTAAAAGTACCTATTATGAAATTTACAGAGAACAATATTTTAGAAGGACTCTCGTAGGTGAATATCGAATTACGAACAGTTAAAATAGTTACAGTTATTTAAAAAACTAGAAAAAAAAAAAAAAAAGAAGTTTTTTGTGCCTTTTATATCGAGCTGTATGTTTATCATAATACAAAGACCCGACGAGGTTCCTTTCAAAATATTCATCGGGCGTCCTTTTGAGTAACAAGCAGCCCTACAAATTTACATTTATGTTATTTTTTCTCACCCTTATTTTCGGGCGTAAACCGCTACCTGCGTTTGATACATATTAATGCTGACATTTTTGATTTCCGCTAATCCGTTGATATTCCACTTTTAAGTTTGGTGGATAGTAATGGTGCATTATTAAAACGCCGCACGCCTTGCCGACACATAAATGATGTACCACTATTGTCACCCGACCCAAACTTAAAAGTGGAATACCTCGTCAACGGATTGAGGGAAATCGAAATTGTCAGCACCAAAATTTATTTTAACCGGGCAATACCCCGTTTATGGATTTTTTTTTTTTTTTTAAATATAGATTAACGTTTTAAAATAAAAAGTGGGTAGTAGTGTTACCCCTAAAAATAACATGAATGTGAAACCGTAGAGCCACTTGTTTCTTAAACGTTTTGTAAAACAAATTCCGAAAAAAGTTACACTACTTTCTGGGATAATGAACGCGTACACCCTGAATGCTGTTTTGACGTAGATTTCGTGAAAATCGTTCACCGGCTATTGAATTTCGCCTTTACACGTAGAAATTATAGTTTAAAAATGGATGTAGGACTATAATAATTACGGAAATAGAAAAACGTTCTGTTTCATGGGATGCTAGTGACGAATATTGTATAAAGATTGGAATAGGAAAAATGACGGGTGGACGGGTGTTGCAACTGTTACATGCGAAATGCGAAAGTAATTTAAAACATTTTGAGTTGTCAGCTCTCAACAATTTATAAAGAATACAAAACGCACCATTTAATCATCGTTTACTATTTATAGGATGAATCCACCATTTTCGATTCGCGCGTTTTTATTTTTTCGTAATACTTTTATAGCGGGGTATTACAAAAATCACGGTGTCCAAATCGTCCCATCTTGTAAGATGCGAAATTCGCGCGATCAGTTCTTACGTTGTGCATTTCTTACCGGACTGTTATCAGCAATGATTTGATTGTTTCGATCCGATCAATATATTTGTACAATTGAAAACACACATAATACATTTACGAACACTCGTGTGATACTGAAATACGAGTGTTTACATACTAAGATTTGACTGTCGTTCGATAAGGGTGATAAGGGATACTCATCCCTGAGATTTTTTGGAATAAAAATGCTTGTAAAACGTAGAATATAACAGTTTTATAGTTACTTTGCATCGCATTTGTATGTACATTTTTATTGGTTCGAATCCAATTGTACTCGACAAGGACATCGATCATGTAACAGGACGTCACACTGATCGTGCGTATTGTCAACCGACGTTCCACGACGTTCGTGTGACTAGGGAGCGTCCGTCACAACTCAACGTGCGCTCGTTCAACGTTCGCGCGACCCCGTTCCGTTTGCCGGCCAATCGTCTGCCACGACGCGCGGCCGTGCCATTTATAACTATCATGCGCTTAACGCGATCGTGTATGTAGGCGTCCATCGGCCGGCCGGGCAACATACCGATGGTGCTGTGCACGGGATGTCTGCTGTACCAGACGCAGCTGGACGACCATTACCAGACCGAAGTGGCGTTACCGCTGGGCATGGTGGTGAACGCCGTGTTCAAGAACGAGCAGTGGCTGTACGTGCAGACGCCGCACGCCGAGGAGGGATACATACCGTACGGCAGCTGCCTGCCGCTGGGCATCGTGCCGCCGCCCGACGCGGCCCGGGCGCCGTGCTGGGAGACCCAATCGGACGTGTTCCCGAGGCCGGTCGGCGACCGCCGGCAACACCGCCAGCGCCGCGACGCCGCCGGCCACCGGGGCCGCTCGTCCGCATCGCGGTGGTCGTCCGTCGACAGCGGCGCCGGCGACGACGACGACGGCGACGACTGCGACGGACGCCGCCACCGGGACGACGTGTCCGCGGCGCTAACGCCGAGGCGTCGCCGCCGCTGCGGGCCGGACGCCTTGACGGCCCGGCCGACGTCAGCCGCCAACGGGGACGACGGCCGTCAGCAGCGTTGGCTGTGGATCGGCGGCCACGACGGAACGTCCGCAGCCCAGTCGGTCACAGGCTACGGGTATTTTTGACGTCACTGTATTATTAATGATATTTTTTTAATTTTTTTTTTTTTTTACATACGAACGAACATTGTTAATTGTCATAATAATAGTATCGGTCAAATATAAATATATATGTATAAAAAAAAAAATCACGATTTGTCGACTTGATTAGAAAGAATAATAAATCAACGATTCGACTAATAACATCACGTAGTTCGTCTTTCACTAATCCCGGCAAAACGATTCTCCGGAGTAGCGATATTTTTTTTTTTTGCGCGATGTAATTTGGTAGACGTTTAACGAGGCGATTTATAACAGTATACGACAGAATAATACAATAATAATTAAATTAAAAAATAGATAATGCGTGGTTAGGTATGCAAGAAAAAAATAAAAACAAAATTTGGAAAATAACAAAAAATAAAATAAAAGAGCTGATGCTGGGGACGGTTGCGGCCACTGTTGTAGGGCTGTAGTGGAAATGGTGGGAAACACGAAGTTAGTTAATTTTTGTACCTGTAAGACTGCAATCAACGATTAACCGTCGATAACGAAAAACGATTCGGAGCGAAGTCCGGTTATTTATGTTTTGAAATATTTTCGATTTTCGTCAAAATTTTATTTAAAAAAATACTATCTTAATTTTTTTTTTTTGACTACTAAGAACGACCTATAATGAACTTTTTATCAAATTTTCAAGCATTTCTCTTAAGTTTAGCAATTTATCTACAGAGTATCTATCAAATAAAAATTACGTACAAAACTTGCAAAATTAAAATGTCTATACATAGTTCGAAAATAACTCAATGTTTTTAAAATTTTATCGCATCTGGAAAAAGTAAGTGTAAGTTTTCTGTCAAAATTGCAAGTCTATATGAGTAGTTCAACCTGAATCACAATGAAAAAACAAAATTTAAAATAATCAAAGCATTATTTTCGTAAAATTTCTCGTTGTGTCTCGTTTTTTTTCGGTTATGCTCAGTTATCAATAAAGCTGCAAAGAAAATTAAAAAACGAATAACTTATTTACGAACTAGATAAAAAACGCAACCAAAAAGATCTCTTGTGGTTTGTCTATTGGAGCAATATTTATGGTAGAAAATGGAAGCCAGACAAATTTAAAATAAAAATCGTATAGTTGGTATTTTTTGGTTTTTTCCAATTGTTATGAAAAATACTTAATATATTAACAATGAATTACTCTGTCAGTGGCTGCGTATCAAAAGGTACAAAATCAATCTCCTGTAATTTTTCGATTACAATAATATTTCTGGTAGAAAACACAATTTGAACATATTAAAATAATGAAACTGGGACGCTACGTCGCGCAATGTCGTAAATATTAATCAACTTTAATTTTTCGGGTTTTCCTTATTATAAGAAAAATAAAGGTTGGCAAAAACAATATAAAATTGAAATTCACACATTCAAAATTAAAATACTATAGATTTTAATTTATATCGATCAAAAATCGATAAAGAAATCGAACTTTTTAGGTAAGTTTGCTAAGCGTACACATTACGAACAAAGCAAATAAATTTTAAAGGCGCACTGATGTGGAAAGCCGGGCGAAACATTTTTGCGTAGAGCTTGAAGAACGACTGTTAGAACGTTGAAATAATTCTAGTGCTTCCGACGGACAATAATAATCGATTTCCCCTCGTTGCTGTTTCATAGACCATAAAATATCCTAAAACTTGACAATGACGGACTTTTTGGATTTGTGCGTTTTACATAAAACATCTAGATTTTTTTTCTAATCTCCCGTCCGTCCAACTACTTTTACGGGGCGTTTTTCGATCAGTTCCATTGTCTCGGAGATGCCCGTTTGCAGCGAGTGTCCCGCGTTGCGACAATCAGCGGCTTTTACTCGAGCGCAGACCATAGCATTTCCAGCGGGCAGTAGGACTCGAATCGGGCATCTACCCGGTAAAGAGGTTCGCAGTCGGGCGAACACGGTCGATATCGTCTGTACGAACGCGCGTTGACGTTTTCGGAAAAAAAAAGCGATCGTTATAAAATGTACTTCTCCGGCATAGGGAACGAATTAAACGAACGCAAAAGCCGTGGCTCCGCGTGCGGCGGTCGTGCCGTGTAATTGTTTTGCCGATTTTTCGGCAAATTCAGAGATATTCGTACACGCTCCGCGTGAAACGTACGGTTATTACGGGGGGTAGGGGGGTAGGGGCGTGTGTGCGGGGGCGAGGTCGCGTATCGAAAAGGCCGGGTTCCCAATATTATCCCGTCAGTGTTTCAAAGCGTGCGCCGCAGCGGAAAACGTACGCGTGGTACGCGCGTATTCAATACGCGTTTTTTACTGCGGAAGTGCCCGCGCCCGTAACGATCGTTATTGAAAGCAATCGGCTGTCCGCCCGGAGGCGTGCCCGACGCAGAAGAGGTTTCTCCCGGCAAAACGTGATGTTCCGCGGTGCGCGACGCGTACGTCTCCGCCTGCCGGTAATGTGATAATAGCAACAAGAAGTGTACGATAATAATAATAATAATAATAATATATTGTGGCCGGTACGGGACCAGGAAATTCGTAAAACCTATTGGGGGGAGGCTTGACGTCTGCCGAGAAAAGTTGAACACGAAACGCAATTATTATTCCGACGAGTCGCGGTACCTATCTGGCCGGGTCTGTTGTTGTTGTTTTTTTTTTTTTCTTCTCTTAATAATAGTTCTCCGGCAGAGATACCTCGAGAGAGATGCCTGCTGATCAATGTTTCGATAAGACGCTCATTATATACGGAACGTATTAACTTTTTTTCTTTTTTTTTTTGACATTATTTTTAAAATTTAATAGAACTTATTTCTATCACCGCCGTTTAACGTAACAATATTAATAAATTATAATTTGAATTGCGTACGTTTTTTCCCTTCACACACTTGTATTAACATTGTATAACAAACATGTTTTTTTTTTTTTTTTTACCTACTTTTTATTAATTTTAAAATAAAAACATGATAACGAATGTATGACAAATTTCTTTTGGCCAACAAGCGGTAAATCACTTAATCTGTCGCTTGATTATCGTTTATAGGTTTGTATTATACCCACGCTATAGGTGAAAAGTAATTTTAAACTTGTAACATGGTTAAAACTGGAGGAGGGAGTAGTGCTTAGAACGCCCAGTTTTCAAAATTAGCATTCTAAGAATTTTCAAAATATATTATTTAAACGTTACAATTGTCAACAATGTCATTTGATAAATATAAAAAATATGCAGTATATTTTGTTGAAATTTGAATGTGTACTCATCTGGTTGATAAACGGAGAAGGAAACCCTATTATTAGGGTGTCCCTTATTTTAGATAAATTTGTTTTGCATTTTTGTTAGTCTCCCCCTGAATTTGTGTGTATGCATAAAAAAATGAGCTAAAAAATGTTTTAGAGCGATCTATTAAGGTTAACCTGTGCCGACTTGAAGTTGAAATTTGAATACATTAATTCACTCGTAATTTAATGATATATTTCACATTTTTTCTAAATATCTCATTTACGTAAATTAAAATTGTTACGCTGTATGTTTTAAATAAAATAAAATTGTCAATGAATTATACTATTGCTGGGTTTTAACGCCCCCCCCCCAAAAAAAATTCTAATCTAGTCGCACGTGTGGTTTACGAAGTGGTTTGGTTTCCTCACCGCAAAAAATCACCAATCGACTCTTTCTAAAGATTATTATCTATAATGCACAAGGTATAATAAGAGAAAAATATACAAACATGTAAAACATTTTATATAGTCGAACTGTTGTCGTTTGTAGATAAGTAGGCATCCGATTTTGTTAAACAGTCAACAAACATTTAATTTAAACACAAATCACGAGTATATTTATGCATTAATACAAGTATAATGATAAAATCAATCTTATCGTAATATTATCATAACAATAATACAATATACATAATGATATTTAATACCTAATATTGCCCAAGTTTATACAATCTATATCGATACTCACAATATATTGCGGTTTTTCAGTTTTAACAAGCAAATAAATAAAACCGTTTAAGTTTAATAAATTGTTTATTTAAAATTAATATCCACTTACATCAACATTAACAATGCTTAAATTGTAGAGTGCCAACTACTACTCTACGCTAAACTAATATAAATTATCATTTTAGTGAAGTAGTTAGAAAATATATTGATCACAACCCCGTATATGAAGGCGAAAACATTGACAAATTATTTGAATTGATATTAATTACCGAAAGGCGTGGATGACAAAATTATACAAAAGGAAAAAAAAAAAAACAAAAACAATAATAAATTTAAAGTCGTAAAGATAAAAAGAACATAGATAGAAGACTGGAGAGTTACAATAAATATTTTGTTTTACATAAAGCAACGGTTTATATGCAGCTACACTTCAATAAAAATAATAATAATTATGAAAAACAGTCTCATTGTGTCACACACGATGTGTCTGGGCATTAGAATTACCGGAAAGTTACACGGAAAGTCACAAATGAAACACGGGTAAAAATGTATTTTTTTAAATTTTTTTTCGCGGAAGCTTTTGCATCCCAAAAGAAGGCAAACGACATTATATAACTTTTTATACAACCTACTTGATCTACGACTTAAACATAATTACACATACGTAGTAATAATATAATATATATATATATATATACTTTGACTAGAATTAATAGGTATTTATTTTTTTTTTTTTTTTAAATAGGTAGTTTGTTTGCACTATGTAAGTTTAAAACATTTAAACGATTAGTATTTATTTTATATCTTATTGTTTAGAATTATGTATTATTTATAAATATTATATTATATTTTAAACTAATACGCGGTCCAAACGGGTCGCCCACGAATGTCGTAATATTGTTTTTTTTTTTAATTTTTTTTTATTAAGTATTGCGTTACATAATATTATATGGACGGCTGTATATTTTTTCGATTTGCACTGAGAAACCATTATTGCCACGGCTGGCCAAGTCAGACGTGTACGTTTCCCCTAAAATCGGATTGGAAAATGAACGAATGGTTTCTCGACCGTATTAAATATTTGGATTTGCGTGTTAAGAAAGTAGGCACCCGGGAATCTGTAACATAAACTGTCTAATCAATTAAAATTATTTACATTATCACAGAAAATCAAAATCAGAAATAATTATCAATACCATTGTACTTCTGTTAC